TCCGAAACGACATCATTTTTAGTGATTTTTTTAAAAGCAACTAAGAAGTTTCTTTGAAAAATATTTGCATTAGTACGATACCGTGTAGTCACTGTGTGACTATGTCAGTGTAGCAGCTGAACGACGATGTTCAGTTCGCTCAGAAGAACTGTTCGACCAGTTCAGCTCGTTCAGAAAGAACTGTTCGAAAAGTTCAGCTCGCTCAGAAGAACTGTTCGATCAGTTCAGTTCGCTGAATATAGCGTTTTGAACAGTTCATCAGTTCTGAACAAAACCTGAACTTGGGAAGGTCTATTGAAAACTACGACATGTAATATATCTTCAAAAAAATCGATTTTTGCTATAGAGGTAGAGGTAGGTTTGACCCCATTCGAGTTTTTTCAATTTTTCGATAAGAAAATAAAGTTTAAAAAAAATTAAAAACCCAATATTCTTGTACAGTTTGAGACCCCCTTTCGAATGATGTATAATAAGTTTAAAAAAAATTCCATTTGAATTTTGCATTATCTGCATCTATATATTTGATTGTTTTGGGGTCCATTAAATTTTAAATCCGGCAGGATCCTTTACCCTGAATGGTTTTTCACTTTAAACTTGTAGTTGACTTAAATATGGGACTGGCTATACATAGTCTGAGCAACGCAGTAGATGCACATAGAAAAATCCCAGTTTCGATTTGCTAAATGTCCGTATCAATACCCTTTGCATCTCTCAACAGTGGCAAGAAATCTGTAGCATAGAATAGTGATGAAATACTATTATGAAGAATGCTGACGAATCAGCAAAGCGGTAGATGACATGACACTACGACAGATTTTATGTTCAATAGACGAGATGATTTATCAACTGTCTCAGTAGAATACATAACTGGGTATTAATATTAAATTTCACTCTAAATTATCATGTAACCATTGAATAAACATGTGTTGTTTTATTATCGACAATACTAACAACATAATCTGAATGAGAGAATAAAGATGTCAGTGTTTTGTTGATATAAACTTTTTACTTTTTCGGGTGAGAGGAAAAAGGATGTATAATCTTCTTTGATGACGATAGCAGAATAGCATAAAGCTAAAATATTTGTTTCCTTTCTGAAACAACAGGATAAGAACGACGGAAAAGACCGTGGACCCACTAAGGTAACTTTACCAAGGGGTAGAAACTGGATTCAAGGCATTTGTTTATACTTTATCTTATGGCCTTTAAGCTATATCAATAATTTCTTCGTTAGTCAAATAATCCATACATGATCTTCTCTATGCCTCTTTCTATAGGTTTGAATTACTTAGTTAGACTCCATTACTTTTTGGTGTAACGTGAGAATAAAAAAGTAGACTGGAGACAAAAGTTTGAGGCAACTTGCTTTGTTATATGTTGTTTTTATTCGTATCATATATTTGTATGTACAGCGTGAATATAAAAATAAACAACTCTTACGCACTATGTGCGTATTTAACTATGAACACTATGTACAATATCTATGATAAGAGGGGAGATATTTATACAGCATCAAATAAAAGATAGTTTTTCAAATGTACTGAAATGGGTAACGTTTTAACTGTTTGTTCAATTCGTGGTGTAGGTTTTTTATTTATAATCTCAAAACGTATCACTTTACGGAGAGTATTTTTTAATGTCATTGGACTTATTGCACGATTATATATTTCATTTTTTGTTTTATCATCTAATTCTAAACATTCAGCAATATAACTTGGATGAAAATAATAGGCAGCATCACACAGTAAGTTAATTAAATGATAATTATCTTGAAATCGACGTAAAAAGCGTAGAACACTATCTAGAAAACAGAACAAAATGTTATGTGAACAGGCGAATGTTTGATTCGACATACCTCTGCCGCGTGAGAATGATATTTTTGCACCGTATGATATTAATAATCGTATTATTCTTATATCTGACCGTTGCGCATGTTTAATATACGAGACCAATGGTGTTCGATATGGTACATGTTGATGATGATGATGGGGACTATTAGCCACTGATCTGTTGGGATCAGCATCATTTTGTAGCAAACATTTAATAATTTCATATTGGTGTTTAAGATTTGAACATTGACAAGCCAATATTAATGGTGTAATGCATTCGATATCATCATTCGTCTCCTCATTCGTGTCAGCTCCAAATGCTTAAAATTTGATAAAAACTAAATTATATGTTTTCCTACAAAAAAAACAGTTTGTGTATTATACATACCTACTAACAAACGCACAATGTCCACATCATCTTTTCTGATCGCTAACTCTAAAGGTGAGTTATTTAGAGATGGATGTTTATTTACAAAACCGGCATGTAACAATAGCTTTTCTAGAATATCGATACGTCTTGATTCAATGGCGATGACTATGGCATTTCGTTGTCGAAATTTACGTGTTACATAATTTACATTGCAACTATATTTTAACAACAACTCCACTGCTGAACAATTTCCTTCTTTGCATGCTTTGATTAGGGGTGTAATTCCACTTCGACTCAACGCATCTGGATTTGCCCCGTGTTTTAGTATCAGTTCTAATGATGCGAGATTTTCATATGAAAGTAAATTAATTTCATAACCAAGAAAATATTGTTGATTAGGATCTGCTCCAGAACATAATAAATAACGTGCACAATCAATGTGACTGTTTTCTAGTGCTAAACTGAGTGGTTCAATCAAAACGTCACTATAATGTTTGACAAGATTAACGGTTAAATCATCTTGTTTGTGAAAATTAACGATGCAAGCATTCTCAACTAGCATATGAATAATATCGATAAAACCATATTTTGCTGCTAAATGTAAAGGAGAATATCCTGCTTCATCTAATACATTAACCTAGAAAGAAAAAGATGTTTTCCAGTACTTCGTATAAAAGAGACAAGAAAAAACTTACATCTGAACCATGTTCAATGATTAATCTAACTGATTCAATGTCGTTTTCAAATACGGCATAATGTAGAGGACGAAGTCCTCGACGAATTGAACCATTAATACATAAATTTTTTGCACTAAAATTATAGAATCCATAGATGAATTATAAACATGTTGAGCTATTTAAGATTCTTATCATACACAGCAACGAATCTCGACAAGTTAATGGTTACAACTAGTCAATATTGTCTTCAGCAACACTTTCAAAACTGCTAGTAGTAACTTACTTGAGAATCATTTCAATATCTTTATGAGGTGCATGCTGTACAATAGCATCACGTAATAATAAAAGTAGTGAATCTTTTTCGCTTGTAAGATCGGGATATGTTCGTTCAAGTGCCATAAAAAATTTGTTATGTAAAAAAATGAACTCGTCACCGTAATTATCTCTTTTCTTTATATAGTAATTGTATAATAATGAGAAAGACCCGTTTGTTGCTGCTGCTGATATTGTTGTTGTTGTTGTATTAGATTATCGTCGTCGTAGATGATCGTCGTCATTACAAGAGAGGGAAAAATATTTGCAATACGACGTTGTGTGTAATGCCAGCTGGTAAGGCATTTCTCTCATTATTTTATTACGCATAGAGAATTATCATCATATGTTTCGTCAGAACAGTTCGTTTTTTGTCTTTCTTTTATTCCAGACCTCTGGTTGATACAACGTCTCTTGTTTTTTTGTATATATTTTCTTCATAAGTACGTACAATAGGATCACATGATAGCACGTGTTGTCTATATGAAATTATTATGCGATGTGTACATATAGAGGAGAACAATGTAGATCTTACCTTAGTCATAGTACGCATGATTAATATTTTGAGTTAACTGCTTTTCATATTAGCAAATTCTCTATAGGAAACAAGCTGGTCAGTAAAAGTCAGAAGATTCAAATACAGTCTGTGAGAATAAACTAAACAGAAAATCGTATTCACTACTCAAATAAGTTTTTAAACAGCGACTAGTACGTACTCGAATAGGTATGTTACATGAGAAAACTATTTCCGAAATGGCCAAGCCGATTTTGATGGAACTTCGTGTTTGAGGCTTCTGAATCTGAAATGGGATTTTTCTTTCAACTAATTCGGAACATATTTAAAATCATCGGAAGAAGGATCACCAGAAAATCGTAAAGAGATGGAAAAAAAATCAGTATTATGCAGGTAGATAGAGCTGACTCGTAGCTATCTACTGATGTAAAAATTTTCCTAAAATTCGTTAACATTAATTAGTTTTAATCAATTTCCAGTGAATAGGTTTAGACTTATCATAATTTCTCCATTTGGGGTAATTGTGATAACACAACTATTTTTCATGGGATAATTATGATAACTACAGCCAAAATAGCCGGAATGAACTTAAACCATTTAGTTTCAACAGGAAACTTGAGGCAAACTGACTAAAAAGTACACGATCTTGTAGAAGATTTTCTGCTCTATCTCCCGTATGAATTGTCAGTCATTTGGACTTAATCTAAACTAGTTAATTAGAAATTACGAAAAGTAAAAGACATATTTGTCTTCTTTGGGGTAATTACGATAATCCTGTGTAAATCACACAGATAGATAAGAAAAAATCTTCATCGTCTCTCAGAACCCAATTTCGATGCTATACTAAAGGACAAAGTTGTTCAGAATCTTATAATCTACCATATATGTGAAAATTGTGAAAAAAAAGAGTATTTTCAACAAATAATAGGCATATAATAGAGCTAGAGTATTTTAAACGCAGTTTTGTGCATTAAATTAATAGAATCATTAAGCTATAGCCGAAATTAGCAATTAGATCATCGATATTTGAAACTTTTCATGTACACTATAAAATCCTCTTCCTATTGACAGAAAAAAAATTTAAAAAACATCATATCTAACGTTAATTATTTTACTTAGCAGAGAATTTGCGACAGCCTGAAAACTCTAAGTTTACTCTAAAACTCACTTTCCGATAGATTTTTAAAATTTTTCTACAAACAAATATTGCCACGAGGCTTAGCACGGTCTACTACCCATAGTTCATCCGTCTCTAAGCCTACCAATAGTCACCGGGTACCAGTCCTGGGACTCGTAGGCAATCTGATACAGTGCCCGAACTGCGGAAAAGTAACGTCTCGCTTGACTCCCATGTTAAAGCGAACACTCCGGGTTATCAGTCCATGACGAATAATCAATACAATCCTATTGAAAACATTGGCTCCATCTCCTATCGAGAGAGACTTGAACCTTTTTGCGCCAACATGAACGGGATTTTGGCTATTGGTGAAAAACTAAAATTTTTTAGGTCATATCATACTTGAATAGTATTGAAACACTATTTTTCGGTGCCAAACACGTTGTGTTCGAGTTTTACGTTCGTTTTTAAAAATTTTCAGTTTTTTAAAGTTTCGACATTTAAAATTTTGATTCGGAAGGTTAAAACACACATATGCTTGTTCAGCTTGACGACCTCTATCAAGCCATGTATAAATATCACAAAAATAAATTTTTCTTAAGTTTTGAATTTTCGGCCCCTTACAGTTATCTTCGAAGTAAGGCAAACGTTGATCAGTTTTGACTGAAGTTTACTAATCATCGAATAAAGACCCCACAGATGAGTTGATGATAAGAGATGTAATTAATCGTAGTATCTCCAAAATTTTTGAAAAAGCAATTCGCCATAGGCACAGACAGAAAATAAAACTGAGTTTTATTGCTGAACGATTCTTGCATACACGCAGTTGGCTCTCTTTCTATATGTGCCTACATACGTCTATTTCGACAACCATTATTCCTATCTGTCATACCGAAAACAATCGTTACCGTGAGTGGTTGCAATAGAGAGGTTTTCGTCCGTTCGGAACGAAAAACAGCTAGTTACTGTCCAGAGTAGAGAGACGCCTGTTATAGAAGTTCATTTACAGCAAGAAGTGCTCAGTCGGAGCTATAAATGGCCATAATAAGAACGTACTGACCTTAGAGATTTGTCCACATCAGTAGATTTTACTGTAGTGTAAAAAGTTCAAAAATGCATGTGACAAATGGTTTTGATTTATCTGTGCATTAAATAGTTTTGTTGGTTTTATCAACTCGACTTTAAATAACAAAAGATTAACTGCTGTTCATTAAATGTAAAACTCATAATTATTTATGTAGAAAAATTAAAAAATGGAATTTTCCATATATTAGAAACGTCAAACATTTGATTAGAATATTTGATTTCCTTGTTATTATGTAAAACAATCGACAACATACTGAAATTTTTGAAAATAGTACCTTAACTGTGACTAATTTTGGCAATTAAGCTTTTGTATCAGAAGTTGGATACACCTGATTATGTTTATTCGTTAATTTGTTATGGCCATCATCAACCACGTTCGACTAAATCTAATCACCTATTTGATCAACTTAATGATTTATCAACCTATCTGGCATGATATTTGCACTGTTATTTTAGTATTGACAATTTTCTAAAATGTATGTTATAGTACGGTATGCCTGATCGCTGAGAGATGTAGATTTTAATCGTTGCTGAAAAATTACCAACTTTTGAGAAACAGAACAAAAAGAACAGGAATGAAGTTGTATTTGTGAGTTTCCCAGTGAGAGAATTCAAAGTGTGAAAAAAAATTATTAGTGAATAATACTGAATGTCGATGTTTTAAAAATTAGTCGAGAATTGAGCTTTATTGCTATTAACTTTTACAGATGATATGATTGTATTAGGAAAACGGCTTTTATTGTTCTTATCAACATGCGATCTAATCTATTAATAAAGTTTTTCATAATATATCATTTATTGTTGTCTTGTGACATGTCATACATGAAATGAAAATAACACGTTGTTGTTTCAGTATTTGATATACTTTTCTAAAGTTCTACAAAAACACACTAAAAATACAATAGGTTTCTACGTATGGTAAATATACAACAAATAGAAAAAAAAAGAATTAACATTTATTATTGAATGTTACATAAAAGAGAAAAATAATAATCGAAAAGTGGAGATATACAGGTTTAGATTTTTGGTTGTTTGAGCGTAACAATTGTTATAATGTACAATTAAACGATAAATAGATTATAGTGACAAGAGAAGTTACTATCGACGCGTATATTATATAAAACAAATCAACAAAAAAAAAACCTCATCAGAGTGAGACATTAATTTAAACGAACAAGAGATTCTGAAAAGGACTTTTTCGTTGTATAAGACAAAAAAAGTAAAACATAACAAAAAGACGAAAGACAAGGACATTTGTGTTTTTAAGACAATTTTTCGACAAATCACAAACAAGAAGTTTACACAGACGATGGGTGAAATGCACCTTTTATATATAAACTCGCACATTTTGTTTAATTCTATCTAACGAAACATATGAACTCAAATTAACAATAAAACACACAATTTTTTATGGTAAATTTTTTTGTTTATATTTCATATCTGTTCATGCGCTTCCTTTATCCTTTTTTTTTATTACGCTGCACACAAGACAGCTTTTAGAAACTGATTTTTTTTATTTTTTTTATTTTTTTATTTTTGCATTGTTATTATATGGCACTGACATACAAGACTTTCAAACTCATTTATACACACACGCACACACACACACAACACACGCACACACTATTTTCTCTGTACAACAAAAAAGAAAGAAGATGCATGTCCGTTTAGATTTTGATGGTCAAAAAATGCATATATCTCACTGCTGCCAACAAAACTTCTACTTGGCCGTATAATTTTTGTTCTCCATGTAATAAGAAACTAAAATTCATTGCAGCTATAATGATACAGTGATGCAAATTTGTAATTCAAATACATCCAAAACTGACTATATCTGTACATACGAATTATTTTTTTTTGTGATTATATATTATGTGCAGGAGTTAGTAACTGTTATGAGCGGCCTCGCCTGCTTTCTCCGCACTGTTCAATTTGTCAAAAATCTAACTAATAGACGACGTACGAAATAGACAATTACACAACATAAATCAACAAAATAAACCTGCTAATGATTTTTATACTTCTTGGTCACCATGAAACTTTTCCAATTGTCTTTATAAAATGCAACTATTATCTATACTTTTATCACTGCTCGAGGTGATATTCGTATATTTTCTGTTCTCTCTCCACCGTTAAAATTTTGAATTTTGAATGTCATTCAACACTTCTTTTCCTACAACAATTTTCTTTTAATCAGAAAACTTTCTCTTTTGATCATTACCAAGATTTTAGCAGTCCTACTTCTTGTGGCTCTGCATATATTTTAAATGACACTGTATCAATTCTCTCCACTTCATGCTGCTTCTTCTTCTCATCTCCAAAAGACTTTATCGTTTTAGTGATATTAATCTTCACGTTTTTTTCTCCTGTTAATCATTGCAGGTTTAAATAAGATTAAGTATGAGACCTTTTCTATACAAACATTCATACAATCACTGCATACAACTCACTGCTTTTCAAATTCGTTTCATTAATATGTAATTAGACACTGTTACACGCAAGTTTGAAATGTCTTTCTTCAACAAAAAAAAACAAAACAATAATGCTGACGTATCATATGTGTGTCATTTTTCAGCTTAGTTACTTAACTTTTTACGTTTAACATTTTTAAACGTAATTTTAAAGGCATGGCATCACCAGTCGTTCGTTCATTCAATTGTCTTTCATGACTTACTGAGATTGTTGATGAAGGTATGACATTCATTGATTCAGAAATATTATTCATCGTTGTTGATTTATTAGAGTTCATGTTTTGAGGAAATACTTGATTAAATACTCCAACTGACTGTTTACCATTTTCATTATTAGATATAAAATTGATCAATGTACGTAATTGATTGAATGAAGTTATAGTATCTTGATTATTAAAAGAGACATCTTCACGTTGTGGTGACTGTTCATGTGATATTTTACGATTTGTCAGAAGACCATTTATAACAGATTGAAGAAGGTTATTCGATGGTTGTTGAGTTGGTGTTGGAGGTTTTTCTTGTGGATAATTACCTGTTAGAGATAACAAGGTAACAGCATCATCCCATGATGATTTATTGACATTATCAGTAGTGGGAGATGTTACTTGTCTTTCGTCTAATTTTGAACTTTGTTGATTATTTGCATCATCAACGTGACTGTAACTTCTTTTCAATGCATTCTTCGTTTTACCGCCACCATTTACTGCTTCACTATTATCCATGTCATCGTTCGATACTTCTTCATAATAATTACTGTTTTGATGTTCTTCTTTTGGCGCTATGGTTAATAAACGAGGCTGAAGTGTTGGTGTTGATTGAGCAAAAACACTTGCTTGTTTTAATTGATTAGCAAGAACTTGTAGTAAAGATTCATGAGGAGGTGATGGTGACGGAGTAAGTGGAGACGGACTTTTTGTTGTTAGTAAATTTCCAGTTTTCAATTCGTTTGTCTGTGTGTTATGATTCGTGATGTAGGCTGTTTGTATCGGTAGTTGTAACGGTTTTCGATTGGCAACTTTTGGCAGATGTTTTTCGGCCGGACAGAGAAGATTTGTTGTTTTTGTTGGTTGCTGTTTTTGTTCGTTTGTCGATAGATCCATTGCAGTGTTACCGGTTGATGGTGCTGACATATTATTCATCATATTCATACCAATTAACTGATTGTATAATAGCCTGAAGTCAAGTATCAAATTTATTTTTAGTGAACGCATAGAATAAATAAAGAAAAATTACTTACGGATATTGTGTTCGTGCTGCAAGTGCTAAAACTTGATTAGCAGTGGCTGATGTTGTTGTTGTCGCTGATGAAGATTGAGCAGTATAAGGATTCATGATACGAGCCAGGAAATCATTTTGTAATTGCTGACAATGTGCTGACATTGAGGATTGTTGTTGTTCGTGGTGACTAAATTTTTCTTCTTCTTCCTCTTCTCCACCACGTTGATTATCTGCTTCACCAACAAATTGTTGTGAGTCATTGCTGTAGTCATCTTCATGGCTATAGGCCGTTTCGGATGACGATGAATTGAATAATGAACGTGTCGTCTTTTTATTACTGTTAGTATTTGTTTTTGTTGTGGCTATACTATTCTCAATTAATGATTGATTATCATCGGTGTTATCACACATTTGCGACATAATAGCTGTGGCCGATGTTGCTGGTTTTAAACAAATATTACCAAGGCGTTGTTCTTCCTCGAATAATAATTCCATTTCATTTTCTTTCATATTGATTTTCGTTAACATTAAATTTAATTTTGCCCGTAGTACATCATTTTCATTTGTTAACTCTACCACCTTCGTTTCTAAAAGAAGATATATCACAAATTAATTTCAGAAAACCATCTCTCTAACACAAGAAAAAGTTTAGTACCGAAAAGTAAAACATACCAAGTACAATATCGTTAAGTCGGCGTTTTTCTCTTGAACGCTTAGCAGCCAAATTATTCTTACGTCTTCTTTCCCAATAGTGATCATCTTTCATTTCATTTGGAATGAAATCCCGACGTTTACGCTGGGGAATAACATCCTTGCGTGACAATAATTGTTGTAAAAATTCCTTATCAACATTTTGTGGACCGGCTGTTGTCACAACTTTAACAACACGTTCACCAGAATTTGATCGGGAACTTGTTGCTGACATGATTGTTGATGACGTATTTGTAGTAGAAGGTGTATAAGTGTATTGTTGCTGATGTTGTTGTAATATTGATGGAAATGATTTTTGATCTACTATTGACGAATCTTGATGTAGTATTGAAGTTGTACTTTTCCCCGTATCACTTTGAGTTATTAAGTAACTATGTGGTGGCAGTGAGGTTTTATTTGTATTCACTCTGAAAACAACAACAATATACCAAAATAGCTCATCAGTTCGTTTAGAATTCTCACCTGTTCACATTGTCTAATGTATTCCCTGAACGATTAATAGTTTTCTTAGGAGTTTCATTAGAAATATCTGTTGAAAATCGATTGTTAATCCCATCTTTTTTCGGATCTTGCAAATCGGTTATCGATGAAGAAGAGGACGAAATAGACTCGGAAGATGAAACAGAGTGTGATGAATTATTATTATTGATTAATCTTGCATTGTTGCACTGTTGTGATATCAATGCGAGCATATTCAATTGTGAATGTATATCGGTTGATAACATATGACGAGCATATTTTGTTCTCATTTGATCACCATGCATTTTCTATTATAGAAAAGACGATTAGATAATTAAAACTTAATGAAACCAAGAGGAAACACATTGTAAGCTAATATAGAGCAAGAAAAATCAATTACATCATATTATGGTTTTTTTCAAAACTCGCTGCTAATCCAATATTATAATAAAAAGTTCCTTGGAAAAGCGTTTAAATTTCGCATGAATGCCTATCAGCCAACGGTTATGTTTCCTTAGAAGTTATTATCTCAAAAATGGATAGAAAACTCGTCTCAATTATGCGAAATCTCCGCTTGAATGAAGTCAGCTGTGTTCTTCTCATTACCTGCATTGCTTTGTTACAGTTTTCTTGAATGATGTCAGCAAGTTAAAATAAAGTTTTCTATCGATTGTACGATAAACGGATACATAAGACGTCTTTTCATCTTGGACTTGGATGGATATGAAACTAATTTGAACAATTTGACCTTCACATATCGCTCTACTTTTTCGAATCTTCTTTGCCTCTTTTCTCTCTCTTTCTCTCTCTTATTAGCCTGCATTACTTACATATAATGTTTTTCTTGCCCTAATTCACTTTTTTTATATGGATCACTTGACCGTCAAGTAATCTGATTCACTCTCTCTCTCTCTGTTTTTCTCTCATTTCAAATTAATGAGATGCATGTGTACAATCTTTGTACAATAGATATATATATGTATATAAGGTTATGTTTCTCCTCGTTCGTTCGGTCATTTATTTAGGTCATCGTGTTCTGACCGCTACTAAATTTGTTCTTCGCGTCTTTTTTTGTTGTGTATTTGGTCTCATTTTTCCTATCTTGTTACTCGATTTGTGTAGTATATACACACACAAATTTTATAACAGCTGGATGTTGAATCGGTCAAATAATACAGAGAGCAAATCTGACCATGAATATGTATACAATATGATCTTTTTCTTCCGTTCTTTCTACTCATATAATTCGAACAATATTTTCATTCGTTTTTTTCTATGTCTTCATCGTATACATAAAAGAAGAGGAAGTTTAGATGAACATTATAGTATTACAAATAGAAAACATTATCGAATATTCTTAATGTTCTTTCTATACACAAGAGCGTCTCTTTATTGACCTTGTTTATTTGACGAGAGAAGGAGCGGTTAGATCTGAGACTATTGCTCATAGAGATTCTACTAATTAAAAAATTAAAAATACTGGTTACTAAAGATTTTATATGATACATTTTGTCGATACACAGTTCAATGGTGCGAATTAAGAACGTTTTTCTACAGCAATTGATTATTCTAGAAAAACTGATTGAGAATCTTAGATTTTTAGCTAAAGATTATCTTCGAATTTTGGTTTATATTATAGAATAACGAATTTCAATTTCGTTTTAAAACATCACAACTAAGTTCAGTTAATGCGCTTTTACAAATTTGATGCTTCAATGAATGAATACTAACTACTGTTGTGGTTAGTCAAGTTTTTAGTAAAATTCTTAATTTTCAAAATAAGGGAGGGATTGAGAAGAATGTAACCTCATAGCAAAATTAGTAATATGCGAAGCTAAAAGGTTCTGAATTTATTTTGTATTATGCGATGAATTAAATAATTGATTAATAAATAAAAAGATTTTAATGACTGAAAAAGAGTTTTCCTTCTCTACACATCATCATCCCATCTGCTATTTGAATAGTTTTATCACACAACATTATATATATGCTTGAATAGATGACCTATAAAATAGATGCTGTTGACCGTATATAATCATCATCACTACTAAGGTTGAGATGACCTGACATAATTCTCTATTCTATCGGTCACACATACAATATTTATTTTCATCTATGTATACGTCCTTCGTGACTTTTATCAATATGAAAGAACAGGGTATATATATGTGTACACTTAGTTAACAACTGTTCAGTTACTCGGATATGTATGTGTGTTAATACATTTGCCCGCATTTGTAACATAAATTGAACTTTTTTCCTTTATGACAACCAAGATTACATTTTCTTTCTTCTTTAGTAATGTTGTTTCATTTGCTCATTATAAAATGGGCAAGAGTATATACAAAAGATTTTTCTTTTCCCCGTTGAATTATACACAATAAGAGAGAGATCGATGAACAAAAAGAAATAAAAAACAGTTTTTCTGTGTCAGGTCAACTTGACTTTATTATCTATATTATATGTAGAAAATTGATTCTTTCATAGCAAAAAGTTAGTATTGCAACCATATGGCGAAACCTGTTGTCAAAATAGTGATTTACACTTTGTCGATCAAAAAGGATTGAAGGCTTTCATTCAACATAGATGTAATTTCCACCCTATATACAAACATGGACGCAAACACTAAGGCACCATTGAAATCAAGTTCAAGTTCAATTTATATAGCACACCATGGAATTATGCTATTACAGGACAGCATAAGATACCGTGATACCGTTTTATAAAGAAAACGTAGAAAAAATTAAAGACAAGTGAACGTAGGAAAAATTAAAGACAAAAGAGTCCCACATAATTAACAGCAACAGCATCAGTCCTACAGTTCTAACCAAAACTTGATGACTATGACTAAAATAGTAATGAATTTGTTACTCAATTAAATTGATAGACTTAAATCTAAGAAGAAAGTATTTTGATTATTTTTTTTTTCGCAAAATCATAATAAATAAATCATAATAATCATTCTCTTTCGGTTCAATTTATTCCAATCATTGTACACCCTATTGACTCAGGGAAGAAGCAATAAATGTCTATGGCAAAATACGAAATGGTGTAGCATCTATGTTTCTAACTCAAATTTGAGTTAGTTGGAATTTTATCGGACATTTGATTATTGTGCCTTTTCCCATTAAATTTTTTGAGGAAACACTCAAAAAGCATTTAGAACTATAGAGTCGATGTTGTTGCCGTTAGTTATGCATAGATGTCGAATGAAATTTTGCGATAGAAAAGTATGGAAAAATTAGAAACTTTGAGTTGTATAAACGAAGAAGAAAAACGACAGGAACATTAGGAACAGACACAACGTGGGAGAAGGGAGAGTGCGTAATGACAGTGAGTGTGGTAAAAAAGTTCACATATTCCTAATTCACATGTTCATAGTTCTTAATGTTTGTATACTCTCGATAGATTACATAGTTCGAATAGTTCCTAATCTTTTTTATTCTTCGTTTATGCAACTGGAAGTTTTTTCTAATTTTTCCATACTTTTTTATCTCAAAACTTCATTCTCAGCTCGTTCTCTCATGTGGTTGACCGCCTTGAACGACGTGCTACATAAATTAAATTTGATTTCAGTGGTTTCTTACGAAAAAAATCTTCTAAACTGTTTCATCCCTCTTGATCTGCAATTTAACAACCTCTACTAACTGGCAAGATCAAAAATTCATTTTGAACTCAAGCATTTTACATTTGGAAACCTCTTTTTTCACAAAATCAATCTCGGAACAGCCTTGATCACTGCATTCGGAATCAGCACTATTGATTACGTATATCTCCATGTCTTTTATGCAAATTTATCATTTGGAGACCGTTCGTTGTTAGTGAATACTTAAAAATATTTGTAACTATTTTCAAAACGACTTTCTTATCATCAACTTTTACAGCTATTTCTCTATGATTGCAATTGGTTTAATAACAATATATGAAAAGCTTAAAACAAAACTCAGAGCTCTGCAAATCACACTTCGTTATATGTCAATGCGTTTATTAATGGGTTTAATCTTCTTGGGTACGATTAATTGTTTCTTGTTCAGGGTAAGCACCCTGCAGTATCTGAAAAATAGAATAAAAATCCGTACAAAGAGTATAAACAAAAGCATTTTTCATTCCTCAAGAGGTATATCAACAGAAATGTTCTAACGCTCGCTCTGTTCATTTCTAATGTATTCCTTGTAAGCGAAAGACTGATCACTCAAATACATTACTAGCAGAAAGAGAAATTTTTATTGATCATATTTTGCGATTTCTTATTCCGTTAAAAATAGAAAAACAATTGAAAAGCAGCAAGAGCCACAACGAGTCCATGAATGAAAGTTTTCTGTCAAAAGCAGAAAGAGATTTTAATTAAGAAAAGTATAACTAAAGTAGCTGTTTCCAACGTTTCGATTTATTAAAAAATCATTGTCAAGGGAAAAAAATCGTACAGTATATAAATATAAACTATACCAGTCAGTTTAAATGAAAATCTTTTGCTTTCTGTATATATCCTTGACATTAATTTCTTAATAAATCGAAACGTTGGAAATTAACAGTGATTAAAACCGCTGCTTTAGTTATACTTTTCTTAATGAAAATTCTACCAGTTACAAACAAAAAACGGGATTTTAATTCTACATTTTATCAGCAGTCTCAGCAGTGGTCCTTTACATATGTCTTAAATAGTATCAGTTCATACCATAACAGACATCTATGTTTATCAAACATAGTTTGTATTCTAATCGACTTTTAACTATCTAGTAAGTAGTGTAGCCTATACTCTCAAACAAAACGTGTGCAAGCACTCACATGGCTCGATGGTTCATTCAATTAACATTATCAAAATCGCCTAACTTTTGCTCATTAATCGCGATTTTTCTGCAGTGATTCTATAACAAAAAGTCAGAAAAAATCAACAATTAATCAGCAAAAGTTAGGCGATTTTGATCATTATGAATCGTGATATTGAGAGTTTAAGATATAATATGGGTATGTTGAGACTTCTTGTGGACACTCATAGTCCAACGGGTTGTTGTCTGCGGAAAACCTTTTTAACAGATTATGTGGATGATTCAGAGTTAAACTTAGTGGGACACTGACCGTTAAGAAAAGATTTTATTTTACTCAAGAGCAGGTTATCGCAAAAAAGAACAAAAGACTTGTGGCATCCCTGAATACCCGGTGATAACCTGAAACTAAAAATTTAAAAATATAAAAAAGTAGAGTAAGAAAACATAGAGTAAGAGTCGGGATTAAATATCCAAAAGGAGGAGTAGCCATCTGTGTTAAAGACACCGTTTGTTTTTCTTTTGCTGCTTATTGTTGTATA